CTCGAAACCAAAATCCACATCTTTCATCTATAATCGCATTAACAAGATTTTTAGTATCTACCCGTTAACCTACCGTGAATGCAAAAACAGGCTGACAGTATGGCTAAAGACTTTGGACTTTGACAAAACAGACAGTTTATTTAAAATTTAACACATAATAACCGATTTTTATATAGGTATATAAATCTATGTATAATAAAATACAATTTTATTTATATATATATGCTTATATGCACAAACACATAAACACACACACACATGCACAAACACTCCGCTTAATTAGTTTAAATTGTATTTTCAGGTAATTAAGATGTGCTTTGATTAGCGTGAGTTGCACAACTTGTTATAACGTATATTTCCATGTCAGGTCATGGTAAATTCTTAGTAAAATTTCACTTTAACTAGCTCTGTGGTGTAAAACCCGCTTTATTATATTTAATTCCTCGATTTAATCTTAATATAGTTAATGACCTTACCATAATGTAACGTATGCTATGGAAGAGTGGTTCTTTTTGGTACAGGTGTCTTTGCACTTAAAAAAAAGAGCCTACCTTTATTTATGTAACCAAATGTATGGTAAAGTAATAAATCATTTTATTTTTTTTATCATACGACGCTTTTTAACACACTTGTTAAGAAAATAATACTAAAAATCATTTTATAGTTTATAAAAAGTTTATTTAGAGAAACAATTTGTAAATGTGCAGTTAGTAAAATTAGTGATTAAAAGTATTGAGGTATCTTCACTAAAAGCATCTGGCCATGGTTCTTTATGTGACCATTTCTTTCTTTGGTCGGCCTTGCCTGTTTTCCCAGGAGTTTCAAACTTTTCATCATTTTCCTCTGATATTCCTGAAAAAAAGTAAAAAAAAATATGTAACGGAATAGAAACAATAACTTATTGATGAAGCAATTAATTCAAAATTGGTAGAAAACCTGACCGAGTTGAACCATAATAACGTATCAAAAGAAATGGTCGTACTACAATATTACCTATTTACAATGTCAATCTAACCTAAAAATGTCTTTTTGGTCTCAAAATCGTAAATTGAGTAAATTTGTAACTTTAGGCAGATTACAAACAAATAGTTACACGATTATATACCCGTCATAGATGCTGTTCGCCCATAAACATCATCCAAATCCCATAAAATTCGTCCAGATTGGTAGTCTTCGAAACATCGCTGGAAAACTTTAAAAATCACTTCCCGCGTGCCACTCCGATTTACTTTAGTCATTTTTATACCCTTCTGCGTAGTTTCGTCTTAATTTATTACAGTTTAATCCAAACAATAAAAAATACAAAAGGAAAACTGTTTCTTTTTTTTTTTTTTTTTGTTCTGTGGCTGTTTCCGTTTCACACAGAAATTTCGCCAATATCCCGTAGTGAGAGAGACACGGTAAGGGAGAGATTGCTCGGTAATTACCAGAGAAAAAGGAAAACTGTTTCACAACTCAAACTCGATGACAGCTGATGTACATAAGTTTGGTGTCAGTGTTGCCAACTCGGATTTTGAAAAAGGCGTAGGCCCGATGAAAAAATTACGTAGAATAGGCTAGTTTACTCATGTCAAATTGTATTAAATAAATGTTTATTTCTTAAAGTATTTAGTCTAAGGAACCTTAATATATCGATTTCACTTCATAAAAGCAGAAGATTGCTGTAGAAATTTAATTTAAAAAAATATTTCTTAGTCTATATTTTTTTAACACTAAAAACGCTGTTCGCCACACCACCATGATTTTGACGTCTCTTGTGGTAAACAACTAAATGTCATTCGCGTGTAGAGGTGTAAAAGTAACGAAAAAAAGCGTACCCGTATGTATTCGTTACTTTATCAATTAGTACTTGTTACAATAGTATTGTTACGTTACTCGTTACTTCTCATAAAAAAATCGGTTTTACTATTTTGAAATTTTTAACCGTGAGCTTATGTTATATCACAATAACATCGCAATCCATTATTCATCAATTAAAATGATAAAGCAACAAATAGGTGTCGAAAATTATTGTGTTGATAATAATACATAAATAGCATTAATATAAATCAACATAAAAATAGTTTTGCTTAGAATGAAATTAAACATAACGAAAGAAAGAACTACAACATAAATCTTTTGTTCTCAAAATAAAAATATAAAAAAAAAAATTTAAACGAAATCTATCAAGTTGGCTTTTTCGATAAGCTTCTGTGAGGTAGTCAAGACGACAATAAAGTTCTCACGTCCATTTGACCGGAATAGCGTATATTTTAACGACTAATTCTTCAACACCAATTTTATTTCACAATATCCACTATGAACGAATTTAAGAATAATTAAAATAAGACGCCAACCGCACTCGATGAAATCCCACCAAAAACGTTTTTAAATTCTCCGAATATGCTCGCGCATGCTTAAAACATACGATCAGCAAATGTTTCTATACACACATCAACTGTACTTGCGTAAACTGAAACATATAGTCATACTACGAAAAATGCGAATAACGAAATTTATTTGTGTGTAACGTTTCGTTACTCGGTACTAAATGGCGCACCCGTTACTCAGTACCGAATACATACGGTTTGCTACAGCTCTATTCGCGTGTTACTGTAGGTGGATTCTTTTGTCTGACTAAATTTATCTTAAAACACTTTTAACTTTAGGAAAGAAAAAAACAGTAAACTTACTTTTTTTTGACAAAACTAATTTTATTATGGATGCCGGCTTTGTGAAAGCAGAAAGCACAAATCTGCCAAGAATTGACGCATTGATGGTTGGTGAATTTGTTGCACTAAACCCCGATTTCTGCTCTGCAGAGCAGAGAAACGACAAGGTATCTATGTAAGTAGTAATAAACATAAAACTGATACAACATATGAATAAGTGTAATAAAGTTGCGTAGGTTAATTTCTTTCGGCACTTTAATCCACAACTTTCCTGGAGTCTTCAAGGATGTGTTTTTATATTCTCGTACAATACAGTAATGATAATTACTTTATTTTTCGTGGTATTTCTTAGAAATCGTGTATTTTTTATTATAAACTCAGTTAAAATTAATTTTCTACGTGTTTACGAGTTTTTGTTTACCACAGTTCACGTCATAGCATAGATAATCTATAGACTAAAATGGCCGACAGCGTTTTTGTATGTCCATGAAAAGTCTATTTTAAAATTAAAGATTTGTAGCTTTTTAGGTTAAAAAAAATACAATACAATTTTTTTCGGTCTAATAGAACATTTATTAACCATTTAAAACCTTCTTCCAAAAAGGGTCAACTAGCCTAATTTTGCATATGAAAAGTATGTAGATCTACATACTTTTTTCTGAGTGAAATGAAGAAGTTAGGTGAAACCGAATAAAACGAGTATTTTGTTAAACAATTTCTTCAAAAACGGGAGATAGAACAAAGACTTCTTGGAGAAGTCCCTGCATTGGAAGCATTTACCATGCTGTGGTCACGCTGTGGTAGACATTTCCCATCAGACAGACACTGATGGGTGTCGATTCTGGCATGATTCTATAAATTTAAAACTTAATTTAAAATCAGTCTCTCCTTTTCATTCTGTATAGAGAATGACAAGAATACACTGTTTTTAAATAGGCTAGTTGACACTTTTTGGAATTATGTTTTAAATTGTTAATAATTGTTCTATCAGACTGAAAAAAAAAAATTACCTGGAAGACATACAAAAAAGCTATTTAGTCTATAGACTTAATTATGCTATGACGTCAAAACATTTGTAAACAAACACTCGCAAGCACGTAGGAAATAAAATTTCTGAGTTAATATTATAAAACGATGATTTCTAATAAATCACATGAAAAATATAGTAGTTATCATGATACACTTGGTAAAAGACTCTACAAAAGTTGTGGTTTAAATTGCCAAGAGAAATAAACATACTTACACATGAACGCATGTTTAAAACTTGCTAAATCCTGTAACTTTATCTACTGAAAGTCATTTCTTTTTGCAAAGATCAATTCGATGTAAGTACTCATTGAATAATATTTAAAGATTAAAAATACAATTTTTAATTTAGTTATGAATGTACCTAATAAGTCAAAGAGTTTTGTCGTTTCTGCTTTCACAAATCATACGCATACAGCATTAAATTAGTCAACAAAACTAATAACGGGAACCTTTTCTACAAGATACAAAAGTTTTTAGATACATATTTATAAGTAATAAACATTTGTATAGTTTTTAAGTAAAGTAACGGAAAATATTCTTCCTTATTCTAGTGAATTAAGTTGTTTCACAAATTTGAAAAAAATAAAGAAAATACATAGATTCTGGGACTGAAGTTAGTAGGTTTGCAGAAAAGGCCTAAAATACGTAGATCTACGTAAAAAGACGTAGAGTTGGCAACACTGTTTGGTGTTGCCAGACACATGAATAATGTTAGTTCCTCAAACATTCATGTCACGACTTTATAGACAAACTGTATGTCGCAATATTATGTATTGAAAATATTTTCATAACTTAACATTAGTGTTGATTCGGCACTATTCTCTAAACTTAAAAGTCTGTCTTTTCATTCTGTATGGAAAATGACAAGGATACTCCGAGAATCATGCCAGAATCAAGCTCAATGTCCTTCCAAAGTATTTTTTTCTACTAGTAACATTCTCTAATATACTATCAATGTTTTCATAAGTTGCTGATTTTTGAAACTGACTAAATTGTTGACGTTCATTGGTTTATTCACTGTCAGTTACAAACAATGCACCAATAACATGCGTTGTTTATTAAATGGTTCTCAGAATGTGTACGTAGAGATCAATGGCAAATTAATAAAATTGCCATTTTCTATAGAGATAGTGTGGTGCAGTGCTAACATATTAAAAAGTGCTATAATTTCATTATTGAACAGTGTTTAGTGAAAATATCAGCGTGTTTCTTTTAACTGTATTTGTTTTATTGGATATCTTGTGTTGTGAGCCAATCTGGTTGTTTGATAAACAAAACTACTAACCTGTTTATCACCATTGACGGATGTCCTTGTACATTTTGCGAGATCGAAGTGGCGGTAAATTTGATATTTGAAATGTTAAAGGTTTATGATGTGCTTAATTGTTAAACTTATCAGTCGTAATGGGTAGCCCAGAGGAAAACGTGCGCACATGTGAACGCAATACTGAAACAGAATCGCAGGAAAACGAAATAAGTGGTGAAATTTCGGACAATGAAGCTGCCGATACGTCAACATCTCTCGCTAACATATCCACTGGTCAATCTGCATCAGAAGCCAATAATTCTAAAGACGACGCCTCAGGCAGTTGCAAAAAATCGAAAAAGAAATCTCGTCACGGCAAAAAAGGGCATGTGCCTACCAAAGACAACACTGACAGAAGTACAGTGCGGAGAGTACACTATCCAGTAACAAAATTCAAACAAGCTAGGAAAAGAGCTCAAAGCTTTCCTACGATATCCAAATTCTTTTTACCACTCAAAAGACCTCGAAAAGAAGTGTTTATACCACCAACTAAATTCCTTTTAGGTGGTAATATATCTGATCCTTTGAACCTTAACAGTCTTCAAGATGAAGATATCAACAGGGCTATGAATGCTGTGACACCTGAGTCATCCCCGTTGCCCACTCCACCAAGACATAAGGCAAAAATTGATGTAATAATACCTCCCAACATAAGAGATCCCTTAAATTTAATGGAGCCAGTTGACAATGAGGAGTATGAAAAGAGGTTACAAATGCAGCAGAGTAAACCTCGTAAGAAGGCAAGGATAAGACGTCGAACCACTGACACATCTGCTACACCTACAACAGAGGCAGTTGTTGAAACTGAAGTGGGAACAATAAAAGAACCACCACCCCCTGAGCCTTCAACCTCCAAATCACGTAAAAGATCATGTAGTGATAGTGAAAATTCATCGCAAAAAGGCAAAGATGGTAAAAAGTTGCGTCGCATGGACTCTCTAGATAAAATAGTAAGTCCCGTAGTACCTCAGCCGGGGGCATGGATGCGAGCTCGACCGCAGCCGCGGGCGGCGCCTCCAGAGCGTCCTGTGTCCCCACATCGCACCAAACTGAAGAGCAAGACAGAAGGAGAGCAAAAGTTACCGACGTTTTATCCAAAAAATACCAGATACCAATATGGAAATTATGACAGGTAAAATATTTTATAATGCACCTGATGAAAATTACTATAATTAATCAATGAAATTAAAATTGCACACTTTAAAGCTGCACTTACTACATTATCTTTTTAAAAAATATCAAAACAATAAGCGTCTAAGTTTGGGAGTAGGGGCTCGTGACGTCACTTTTGAGTGAATTTTCCCTTATAAGTGTACTCAAACGTGACCTCATGCGACTTTTCAAATCAATATATCTCTGCAATGTTTATATTATGTGAAAAAAGAAATAATATGTGTCCAACACTTTTTGATAATCTACCTGATAAACGAAGAAAAAAAAATTAGTCATCATCCCTATTTTTTTGAACAGCAATGTTAAATTTGTTTTATTTTGTAATGAAATCATGCTATCAAATTAGAACTTGCTATTCAGTAAACAAGGTATGAGTATGGCAGTTGTATTCTATTTACAACACCTATTAAATTGGGCATAACAATCTGATTCTCAATTTAATTTTATTCTCTAAAAATATTATTTTTTAGTAAAATAAAAAATATAAGTTTCTTTTAGATTTCAGTTTAGATATATTGTTTGAAATACTGTTCTATCTATTCTGTTACTTATCAACAGGCTTATAAGAAAGTGACTCTTTCATATGCTTATTTTGACTGCCATTCCTCCAAGAAGTAAATAGTTCATTGTTCTGTTTTAGATGTTCTCTGGTTTTGCATAAACTTTTGTCTCATGCTTATTTTTGTATTAATTTATTGTATTTAATATTTTTATGAGTAATAACTCTAATTACTTTTCAACTCTAGTACTATGCAACTTGAACATTGAAATTAAAATACATTTCCACACTCAGTGCAATTATTTGCATGAATGCATATACCTATGCAAATAAAACCTTGAATATACTCATAAATATGCAAGTAATTTGAAGGCTTATCTCCTAATACTTGGGTAACATTGGGAAACATTGGGATTGTGTTAGTGCCTATTTGGTGTAGTGGAACTTTTTCAGCCCCCCAAGCATTATCAGTACAACATAATATTTATACAGCAAGTTATCAATCTTGGCTTTCAAAACCCATATGCAGTGTTCTGAAGATGAAAGCAGTTAGGTTTAGAACAGTCTCTGTTTCACCAGATAAATAAACTTGTGTTATGCGTGAAACGTTCAAAATAGTGGATCAAGTGTCCATACCTCATCTCATCTATTGTTTGAACTTTTATTTTGTATCTTTTGCTCATATAGTTTATTAAGTAATCTATGTTCTCATAATCTAGATATTTTTATATACATAATCCATCAAATGCAGGTGTGATTTGAATGGAGTTCAGTTAATGAGGCATAAAAAAGTGCCTTTCCAGCTATCATCACCTTAGTGGCCTGAACTCCCCATTCCTCAAAGCAATAGAAACCTTACTCACCAGAAGATGAATACACACAACACCTGTGTATATCTGAGATTTTTTTATTTTATTTTAATATATTATATCAATAAATAGCTGCGCTATACTATGCTGCATTAAACTCGAAAATAATGGTAGATTAGATATAGCAGAATAGAGAAGAACAGAGGAGCTCGATGGCGCATGCGGATAACGCTTTCGGCTGCGATGGTTTAAGTTAAGCAACTTTCGCAGTGGTCGGTCATTGGATGGGTGACCAAAAATTTACTATCTTGAGCTCTTCCGTGATTTGGAAGGCACGTTAAGTCGTTGGTCCCGTTTGCATCTGCAGTCGTTAGCACTCATCAATCTGCACTGGGTCTGCCTGGTGGGTCAGCCTGGTGGGTCATGGCTAGGGCTACCATCCGTCCGGTTTTGTTTGGACATGTCCGGACTTTTTTCCTTTTGTCCGGCTTTTTAATTTATCCGGATTTTTTTAATTAGATGGAATATGAGTAAAACTACTTATTAAGTTATATCAAATAATTCAAATAATCTTTATTAAGTTCTCAATAATATAAAACAAAGTATAATTCATCTTTAAAAATCAGCAACGAGACCCCCCTCGCGATGCAAGCGTCTGCTACCACCAAGGGCGGATCCAGCTTTGGCGCCAGGGGGGGTCATATAGTCGTGGTCAAGTCACAGTGGGTACAGTGTGAAGTACAGATTGTGAAGTGGGTACAGATGGACCCAGCCCAGGGGGGGTCATGACCCCCGTGACCCCCCCTCTGGATCCGCCCTTGGCTACCACGCGTATAATATCACTGTAACTAAGTGGGTGATGTTTGCATTTTGTGACTAAAATGTTCGGACTTTTATCGAAATGTCGGGCTTTTTGTCAGGACTTTTCAAATTTTCAAATAGTAATCTAGTCATGGCCCAATCTCCCTATTACATCCATAGGAAAGGTCTGAGCCCCAGATATGGGAATATTAATAGGCTGATGATGATTATGACGTAGGTATAACAAAAAGTATGAATATGTTTTCAGGTATTACGGTTACCGCAATTTGAACGCCATGATGGATGTCCGTCTGCAGGTGTTCGATATGCACCGTCACCTGTTCCAGAACAAGGACGTATTGGACATCGGCTGCAACGTGGGCCACATCACTATTGCAGTCGCGCGGACCCTCGGAGCGCGGTCTGTTGTCGGCATGGACATAGACTCGACACTCATAGGTAAGTTTGGCTTGCTTTTTTACGAGACATTTCTTAGAGCTAGAACACACTTGCAAGTAATCGCGTCGTCGTACAACTATTGCACATAATAGGTTGAGGAAAAAGTCTTTTCGCCTTATAGTATCTATGAACTGTTTATAATGTGAATCAGATCTTAGAAAATAGCACATTTTGATTTGACTCAAACCGCATGGAGTGGCGTCGCGTTTCATAAGTCTGTTTCGGCTATTAATTTTAAAGAAGATAATTCCAAATTCAAATTAGAAAAATGTGTGATTTTTATTTGATTTTCTTACTGTCAATATGAGTGAATCTAATGAAAAACTCGATACACTTTTAAATTTTACTACAAAAAAGGTAAAAATACAACGCAAGCCGCGAAAAAGCTAGTGCAGTGTCTGTGAGAGTAGCAATTGATGTAAACATCGGCTGCGTACAAAAGTTTAATTTAAAAATACAAAAACAAGTGATTTCAATCAAGTAAAGTAATAATTATTTAAAAGTGAGCATAAATTGTACCGTATATTGTTTGTGGAAGTTTTCATACGGTAACTTCGACATAAAAGTGAAAAAACTGCAACAGTGAAAATGTGTGATAAGTGCAAAGTTTGTACAGATAATAAACCAAAATAAACGAAAATAACTAATGCAAGCGTTAAAAGGATTCACACTTATGGGTGGATAACTTATTAGAATAGACATTGAAACAGTTTTGTGAAGTTAAAACATAAACGCTATTTGTGAAGAAGGTAGTTTAACTTCCAGTATCGGTTTCAAATCAATCGTCACTAACGGACTTAACAAACGTAATATAACACATGAACTGATACTAAATTTCGTCAATAGTCTTTAAGCCTAGTTGGAACAGTGGATAAGGCATTGCGTCGACACCCAGAGATCGACTGTTCAAATCACGGAGGAAAAACAAAGAGGAGCTGGCCTAAGCAACTGTGCACTGTGATTTTCAACTAGGTCCTGACGTCATCATTGTGGGCGGGGCCTAAGTCAGTATGCTTTCAGCGTTCGTCAGGTGCACACTTAACGAGACTCGCATTATAAGTGTTTTTTTGCGTTTTTAACAAGAAAAGGATGAAGTTTTGTGTTTTACTATGTCAAAGTTACTCAGACAGACGTTCTGATAATATGGATGGCATCACATTTCATTTGTAAGTAATTTTATACGTAATTAAATATATAAGTTCTAGAACATTCTCAGCCTCAGCTATCAGCGTTAAAATTCTACTACTTGACACCAGATGGCGACACTTTTAGGAAGAAAATACACAAGTTTACGTATAATTTTGCAGTAGTATATTGTAATAATCATACGTAAATACTGAAAACTGTTATACACTTATTCCTAAATAACTTTTATTATCTAAAACAGTAATTTTATCAATATATAACTAACTGGCCGCCATCTGTCGTCATATAGGATAACTTTTTAAACGTTAAATATCCAGGGCCGTAATACGTATTAAATTATTTTACCAAGTAAATAAATTTTAATTATTTTTATGTTCGTTTTAGATTTCCATCCAACGATAATTTAAAACAGCAATGGATTTCAAAACTTAATAGACCGGATTGGACACCATAGAAGAAGAAGATATTTCCATTTTAAATGAATCTTCTGTGCAAAAAATTAATATTACATCAGAACGTTATCGCATTTTAAATAAAATGAGTTATGAGTCTTCGGATAGCACGGATGTCGAGCCTATGCCTGACGATATGTGATTGGAATTTGATGAACAATTAAATACAACTATAGGTGACTATTTGCGCCGTCAAATAGTAGCATATATTTCTGGGTATGTGGTCAAATATTTACATTCCAAGATCAAATGTGAGAGCTGTCTCAAAGAATTATATGCTGATAACTACGACGATAGTGACCTTGATTTGATAAAATCTAAAAATAAGGGTGGTCTTACTTTCCCATCTAGAGATGTCATAAAAATATGTATAGGGACCGAAGACAGTATTCGTTGTGTTAAATCGCAATCTTTGAATACTCCTAACTTTCGTAAACATAAAATTGTATCGAATACATTAAAGTCACTTATTGGACAAGATTGTTTCAAAAAATCGGCCAACCATATGTTTGACCAATCACCTACAGTTAATCATGTTGTATTTCTGATGAAATCGATTGCAGAAAAATATATTGATATTCGGTTTAAGCATTTTGCCACAATACAAAACGATAGGGCAACCAACCGACAACAACTAACCAAAACTATTATTTACAGGTAATTGATGTTTTTTAATAAAATTATGTTTGTAATAACATTTTGTCTATTATTTTTAAACTACCTTAAAATTTAAATTTAAAGAAAATATAACTAGAAAAATATCCACGCGGACCAGGCAGCAGACGGGAGCGGGTGCGGGTTCGAGTCCCGTCTGCTGCCTGGTCTGCCTGGATTTTTTTTCATCAAGCAGTTACATGTTTTAAAATAACAAAATTTATACCTTAAAATTTTTAAAATCGGTCAAATTTGTCAACGTTTATTTTATTTATTTAACTACATATTTAATTTTTTTGAAGCTTCAAGTTCTGAGTACGTCCCATTATAAACAAAACTTTTGACATCTAGTGTTAGATAGCTGAACTACTACGTAGTAACATAAATATCAACCTAAGCTAGTTTTGCTATTAGCCGATAGATGAAATATTGAGAAGTGGGCGGAGCTGAACACCCCGCATCCCGCAAATTATCACGCGTCGTTTCTTGAGGAAATTTAATCACCACACCTCCTCTTTGTTTTTCCTCCGTGGTTCAAATCCTCAGCGAACCAATACATTTTTTTAAAAGGAATTGTTTTTCATTATAATATTCTACATATTTGTAAAATGAATTCCGAGAACATTACATACCGCAGACGAAGATCAATTTCTCCGAGTGAAAGAACTAGTGAAGATGACAAATTAAGCGATTCACCACTAGATGGCACTGCGAGTAGCGTACCAAATATCTCATTAGATGGCGATAGTGATGAAAACGAACAAATACAGACATTAAAAAAACAGATAGACAAACTAAATATTGATTTGGCGTTGGCTAAGGAAGAAATAAATAACCTGTCATTGGAAAATAGAAATCTAAAAACGGTTTTACAAGAAAAAAACTCAAATGAAAGTACTAAAAAAACAAATGGCCAAAGTAATAAAATCATTAATATTTCCTCTACTCCAAGAAGGGCAAGCAGTAATATTTTTTCACCGCAATCATCGGATATGATTATAGACAAAATAGAAAAGGAGAAACAAACTCACAAAAAAAATTGTAATGATACAGCCGTGATAAGCAAGCGAATCAGACCTAGTAAACATTTTTCTAAAAAAATTTGCTTTGTTAGTAGCAATAATAAGAACAGAATACTGGATATCGCAGAGACTTCTTTCCAAGATCATCGCATATTTCATTATATAACACCGAATTGTGGTATCCAGAAGATGATTGAAAACCTAGAAAATAAATTAACAGAGTACACAATGGAAGACTATTGTATCATATTAATCGGTGAAGAAGATTTCTTAACCACTCTCAATTATTTTGAAATTGTTATGCAATTGCGACATACATTACAAAATCTAAATCATACTAATATTATATTATGTGCTCCAACTTATAGATGTAACGAATACTCTAAAATGTTTAACTGTAGAATTGAAACATTTAACAATATATTAAGTTTTGACATATTTTCGCATAAATACGCTTATATTTTGGACTCTAATTTAGAATTATCTTACGATTATGACATGTTTTCACACAATGGTAAATTGAATAATAAAGGCATGGAAAATATATTTGACAATTTAAAAAAAATAATTTTTGACATTGAAATTTACAATAGCAGGGATGTAATTTGTCAGAGCGAGGCCATGCAAACACGATCAGCTACAAATAACAATTTTTTTCTCTCCTAAAAATCTGTACTTCTCTAGAATTACTTTAAATATTTTACATCAAAATATAGCTGGATTATTAAGCAAGTCTGATTCACTTATTGTCTGTTTAGAGGAACTATCTGAAAAGAATGTAAATGTTGACGTAGTGTGTGTAACGGAGCACTTTATTATGGCCGGCTATGAAAAATTTCTATCCGTCTCCAATTACCAGTTAGCTTCCCACTTTAGCAGAAAAAACTCTAAGCGAGGCGGAGTTTGTATTTTAATTAAAAAATGCCATCTATGGAAGGCATTACCCAAGGTAGCAGAGCTTTCATTGCCGGGTATATTCGAGTGTTGTGCGATGGAATTGGTACTCCATAGGACTGCAATAGTATGCATCTATAGGGTTCCTAAAGCGGCACATGTGAATGTTTTTTTCTCCAAGATGGACCAATTACTATCGCTCCTAAGTAGGAAAAAATTCAGTAATATTATAATAGCGGGTGATTTTAATATCGATGTTTTAAAAAGAAACAGTATGACATTAGAGTTTCAATGTCTACTTTTGAATTATAATCTTAAATTGGCGTTGAAAGAGCCGACTAGATTGATAAGTAAAACGTGTATTGATAATTTTGCTCATAACTTCCCAAAGACTTGCAGGACGGAGGTGCTAGAGTTAGCTTTATCTGATCATACCACACAACTATTAACTTGTCCAGTAAAAAATGTACCTGTAATTAAATTTTGGCGTAAGAAATATAGAGATTTTTGCATCGAAAATATTTCAAAATTTAGGGATTGCCTCATGAGGTTATCGTTCTCAGAAGTATACGACACAGATAATCCAAATGCTGCATTTTCTACCTTCATGGATTATTTTAAGTTGTTTTATGATCTTTGCTTTCCATTTAAATTAATTACCATATTCGTTACAAGGAAACCTAAATGGGTTTCCAAGGGTGTTAGATTATGTAGTAAGAAAAAAAGACGCCTACTATGGAATTACAGACTTAAGCCAACAAAAACTAATAAAGAGATATTCATTAAATATAACAAATTGTATAAGAAAATCATTCGACTCACGCAGCGTGCA